TTGTATAGTCATGAGAGCTTCACAAAGGCTTGGGGTAGGGGGATAGAGTAGAGTTGCAGAAGTTTTCCTGTTCAGCGTATCTGGAAACACCTTACAACGTTCAGGACACAAAGGACAGTTTTTGAAACACTCTCACTTGCAGTCCCACCTTCCCCCTGCAGTCCTGCACGTTGGCTGGCAGCTGCAGCCCTCATCCTAAAAACATCTACTTCATGAATACACAAAGTGCAGGGGAGGCTTCTTGCATTACTTCAAAGGAAAATCTCTGGGAAAGATCTTCCTCCAAACGCTTTCTTACCTGTGTATTGACACTTAAATAAACATGGGTTAGGCATGGGTTGCCTAAACTGCGAATTTAGCCACTCCCATTGCTGACACAGTTCTCACTTGAAATTGAGTTTTGCTTTCAAGTTCAAGATGAGATGATTTTCTCTTCCTGCCTACAGCTACCAGCAGTTAGTGACCCTTTTCAAGTTTCCTTTGCTCTGGAAGATGAGTTTCCTCTTTTCAAACTACTGCAAATCTCCCAGTGCTCCAGTCTGGGATAATTTATCCTCCAAACTGGGGGATAAACCAGTTTCTCTACACAAACTTTCCCAAAATAAGACCAAAAAAAAAAAAAAAAAGGCAAAAAACCCTGAATTTTTTGGCACCATCTTATATATTCAGCTCTGTTCATTAAGCTTAAGTTTTCAAACCTTTCTTTCCTTCCTCATTTTGGTTTCCTGTATCAAGGAGACACAAAGAGCCTAGGCTTTTGCTAGCATTTAGCTATAAAGGGGAGTCCTGCTTCTAGTTTGCTTTCCTCATTAGGCCATGGTTCTGAAATAGCAATAAGCACCAGTGATATCCACTGACTGTCCTTTGCAAAATTAGAGTCCCTCCTAGTCTTTAGACTATGCATGCTTATCCTATTTCTTTTAACTGTTTTTTGTTATTAGCGTTTTAGAGCCAGCACATGTAAATTTGAAAACAAAAAGCAGTAGCGAGGTGTGATACTGCTTTTCATGTGCATGAAAATAGGCAAAATACCACAGCTCCCAAGGGTCCAGAGAGGAAATGAGTCATACACTATAGAACAGCCTAAGTTGACTCAATAGTTGGCAAATGATACTAAGCAAATTAGAGATCTTTTAAGTGTGTGTGTTTTTTTTTTTTAATAAACACAGATTCTCATATTTATGAACACTGAGGATATGGCATATATAAACACATAAGAAATTTATAAATGCTTATATAACTATATATGCTACATATCACACATAATTTTAATATATATTTTGTACAAATTAATAATTGCACAAAATTGTGCACAATTATAAATTTAATTTATAATTTGTGTATTTACAATACATAATACATTTGTTAGATATGTAATGCAAAGAAACACTTCAGAAACTTTATATAGAAAAGTTTTACATGGTAAAACTGGCTGAGCTTTCTCAGGAATTTTGGAAAGTCATTTTCACTTGCAATCTACACAGTGCAATTAAAACCTAGTTTATAAGTTTCAGCACATTCAACACACAAAAAATTTGCCTACAAGCATGCAAACAAGCAGCATGTCTATGCCTTATTGTTTTGCTCCTCAAACAGGAAAACTGTTGTAACATTTGCATCCTCAGCAGCTGCCCTAGCCAGTGGCATGCTTTCTTCAGGAATCCTGCTTGTTACAACAATTTCCCTTAAGCTACTGCAACTAGAACTAAATTTCATCCTCCGGGTGTAAGTAATTGGCTGCACCATGGAGTAAGGGAAACCAGGAGGGAAAAAAGCAGCACTGTGCCATGCCAGCAGCTATGCCAGTTAGAACAGCACCACCACAAACTAACAAACCAAAATGTGTTTCCAGTTACCACTAAATTATTGAGTGACTTCGTGAGAACAATCCCAAATCAGAGGCCAGCTACAAAGTATATGGGGTCATACATGGAAAGCAAGAAGGAAGAAAGGCTGGAAAATATGCAAGTTAGAAGCAGAAATTTTATTTTTTAGTGCAACCTGTTACCTTGCAATAAAAATGTGATTTTCAGAGATGGTCTCAAAGCAGCCACTAACACCAATATTGTGGTGAGCTGCTTCTGTTTTTTTTTTTGTTTTGTTATCTCAAGTAATGGCTTGCTGCATAAACATACAACATGGAAAAAAATGGGAAAAGGCAGAGGGGAGAAATCTTACAGAGAACTATATATTTTTTGCATAATATTCAGCTAGTTTAGTCACAGATGTAGAACCTTTACAGTCCACTCCATACAGTCTAATCTAGGATACATTCACTCTCTGGTATATATGACACAGAACAAAACAGTAACAGTATTAGGGATAAAACTAACAAATACACAGTATATTAAGGAAGAATCTTGTTGTAGAAACTAGAGCAAGAGCTTCACCCAAACTGATGGAAGCTGGAGACATGTCTATTACAACAACAACAACAAAACCAGCAATATTATTCTGTGACTCTCTGGAAAGTATTACCATATTTCATGTTCCTTTAGAGTACATGTTTCAACCGCTGTCATTTATGCACAATTATTACCAAGCTAGGAACCAATAGCCCCCTCACCTGTCTATTTTATGTGCATATGTTTAAGTCCTGCCTTGCTGACCAGCTAGCTCCCTGTGGATATTAACTGCTACAGGCTGAATGTTTATTTTAGGAATAAACAGTCAATACAATGTTCAAGAAAAAAATAATCCTTGTTTCTTCCTTTTCCTTCATTCTAAGTCCCTCCTCTCAGTTGTCCCTTACATCCTTCTGTACTGAAGCCCTCTGGAAGGCGATAGGTGACAAAGAGCACTTACCCCCTTGGCTGTCCCAGCAGTACAAGCACGTCTCAACACCTGCAGCAAGCAATGACCACCCAATCACCTTGACAGTTTTCAGCTGGACAGCCTCAGAGCAGAAAGCTAAACTCAAGCACTCTGGTCTCTACAACCAGGTAATTAGGGGGCAGACCAAGCATAGTGGTTCGTGAGCCCAAATGGATGGCTGAACTGGTGAGGAGCTGAGGCTGTCTGAATGTAGCTGGGTAGGCATGTTCCCACTGCTGCAGTCAGCTGTTGCTTGTGTGCTTGCTGATACCCCTTAGCAGTCTTCTAGGGTGTCTTCTAAGTTATTTTTGTCCAGTGCTTACACAAAGTTTCATTTACATTTTCATTGTCTACTGAAGTTTTTGCAACAAATTCAGTCTGTTACAGCTCCTGTGGCCTCTCTGTCTGAAGAGTTGTTGTTACTAGTGTTCCAGGGAAGCATCTAGGACTGGTTAAAAATAAACAGCTCAGTGGCTGCAGAAGTTACCTGTTAGCTGAACAAGAATTAGATGACTGCATGATGCAATTGCTTCTTAAACCCTGCATCCACCACCCTCTCAAATACCCATGTTGCTTTTTTTCTGTTCTCTGAGGAAGCTGTTCAAAAGTGACCTCAGGCAGAACTTACTTTTTGCATAGGGACAGACAAACAGGGAATGATATTTGGTAAAACGATTCTTCCATGTTCTACATGGAAATTAGGATTTGTCACACACATCTGAGATGATGCCTACAGCACTGGCTTGAGTTAAAAGGGTTGCCCTGTGCCACTGTTACTATTATATTATACCCTAAAGGGTATTTCTCCATGTCAAAGCAGCCACACAGTTTGCTTCTATAAAATGTGTATCTGGGGGCAACTAGAGGCATGTGCTCCGAGGGTTGTGGTATTTAACCCAAATGCTTCAAAATAAATAACCTTCAGGTCACACAAAACAACTTGGCAGAGGGACATGCAAGTTAGGTCCCTTCATTCTTGGGCTCACTTCCCTCAAAAAACAAAACCACAAGCACAGCTAAAACAGCATTTCACATCTGTCAGGGCTGTGAGAATGTTTTCACTCCAACAGCAGCCCTCTCTGATGGACTGCCACAGAGTAGTGTGGGAGTTCAAGGCAAATGATGCTTTTCTCATCAAAAGCTGAAAGCACTGTGCTTCCAGAGCAATTTTGGAAGCTAAACCAAAGATGACAACATTCTCAAGACATGAGGGACTATTTACAGGTGCTTCTTGTGCAAGCTAAAGCGTTCACTGTGGATGTGTGGTATTGCTTCTGGTTTGAGGTGCTGCAATTAGACCAGAGGAAAGCAAAGCAATCAGTGCTAGGCTCTGACCTCTGACTGTCAGACACGTTGCAATTAGCTTTCCAATTATCAGTGAGAAAAATGGCACGCAAAGACTTCATCCCTGTAGGGGAAAAAAATACACTAGTTTCCATTAACTTGCTAGACTCAACCCATACTTCACAGTAGCATCATTTTGCAGCCAGTTGAACTGTGAGGCCCAGGATGGCCTCCAAATACTCCACAAACTTTCTGGGGACCAGGTTCCACACAGACCCAGAGCTCATCTCAAGCCAGAAGCCCATGAGGACCCCATTCTCCAACACCTGCTTGGGGATGATGGCTGCTGCAATGCTGCTACAGTGACACTGCCTGCAACAGAGACACGTGAGGTTCTCCATGTGCACTTCAGTGGCAAAACTAATTAACCAAGATGTAACTAAGTACATCATTCTCCATCCTTACATCTCTTTTCTCCATTATGTGATCATGCTCTGTTTGTTTTGTGTGGCATTCATTTTGTGGATTTAATCCTGGCTTCTTGGCACGTTTTCCAAGAGCAAAGTACAGTCACTACTTTGGCGCAAGAAAAACATTGTGGGATTTTGGGTCTGTATGGAGAACTGGGACAAATATGCTTATCACAATCCCACTGAAGGAATAGATCTCATCAGAATCTGCATAAGATGCACAAATCAAAAGCTACATTACAAACGGGCAACAAGATGCTTTCTGTGGAAGCACAGTAAACACAAAGGTCCCTCATGGAGTAAGCTATCGTGAACTTGATTCCAAAATAACCAGCCACAGTTAGTGCATGCAAGGAGCAATTCTGAGAATGCTCTGACCTACATTGTTCTCACCATACATGCATTAACTTTAATTATGCTCTGCAGAAGTTAACACTCTGCTCTCAGCTCTCACAGTAGCAGCAATTGATGCAGCATCATTAGCAGTTCTGGCTGCCCACAGAGAAATAATTACGCACATAATGAAACAGCAACGTAAATGACAGGCTCAGCACACAGCCACATAATCAAGTGAATGTATAGATAAGAACAATACTAGCATACAGTAACTTGGAGGAAAATAACCATACATCTGAAAGGAGTAGAAAGATCAGCATGGGACAGGGAGGGAATCAAATGCATTGCTTTTTATTCGAGCTCATCATCAACTATAATCTGTATTTTTGTGGTTGGGTCCAACCTGAACAATAAATGGACCTCCCACACACATCCCCACACACTTCATTTATAGAACTGAACTACTTCAGTTCAGACATCAGCTTCAGTAGAAATACTGTAAAGCACAAAGTTCCATGAAGTTCAGAGGGTGTTCAAATGTGAATCTTTCTCTAGACCATTTTTGCATTTCTAAGTAAAAGAATCATTCTGGTTAGGCCTAAGCCTTAAGGGGCAGAATAATTTAAATCTTGATCCCTCCCCCACCCCCCAATTGTCATGAGTTACTGATACTGTATAATTTATGGCACACTGAAATCTATGTTTTATAAGACATTTTTAAAGTGTTGGTAGTCTTTGGAAAAATAAAGTTTTAAATATATCAGAAATTCTATATGAACAAAAGTGTCATCTCTGTGGCTTCATCAGCTGTGCTTGGTAGCAAGATGTGCATGTTTGATTTCAGGGTGGGACAGTGTTTAATGCTAGATCCTGAAGCCTATCAGTTTTAGTTGCATCCCATTTACAGAAGACACTTCTAGACAAACATGCAGCAAAACAGCGTCAAAACTTCCAGCATTTGCCTTAGGGAAAAACAAACAAACAAAAACAGAAAATAGCAGTGTAGCTGCAGACTTTCTGGGTACAGGTACACCTGCAGATTTCTGTAGATAGGTGGTCATTTACTGCTGTCTTTCCTACTCCCCTAACCACACCCCCACTACTCCACCCTAAGAAGCAGCACTGTACTTGTTATCATGAATTTGATTTCCTGAAAATCTAACAATTTGTTTTTACAAAACAAATTCTCCAATCAGTTTTGGAGACTTCTTGCCAGAATTCTTTAGATTCTTGATTAAACCTCAGTTGCCATACAAGGATTTCAGGAGAAGCATTACAGACAAGACAATTCCTATTCCCAGAGGCAAACTGAACCAAGATTCAAGTTCAGTAAGTTGGGTGAAATTCAGATCTATTCTCAGCATGTCTGGAAGTAGTAAATGAAACGCAAGATGCTTGATATATAATGGATGTGCAGCTAACCTGTGTCTGTGCACCAGCTACGTATTCAGGACTGGCCATCTTCTACATGTGGGTTGCTGGGCTTCATGAAATCAGACCCTCTTCCACAGTAGTCTGGCTAACAAGAAGGACTTGTCTACTGCAGAAAACAGTGGAGGTGGTAAATATGTGCACTACAATTCAGGTTCAGTGAAAGTTCATGTAAAACACCAATTTACAATTTTCTTGTGGAGCCAGATGATCCGTGGTTAAGTGCTTCATAAGGAAATGAATTTACTCAGGTTCCTGAAGCTGTGCCAGGCAGACATACATGCTCACTATTTGGTGTGAAGGTTTGCAGGGGCGATTCAACTTCATTGAGTTCTTGCTTGTCATCAGGGCAAGCTAGTGCCATCTGAAAGATGGGGAGGAAATGGCAGGGTGGTGCTTTTTTTTTTTTTTTTTTTTTTAACCGCTACAGCAAATGAAAGCCTTCAGCGGTGCATATAAATAGCTGTCCCAGCAGTGTGGTTTCTGTGCTTCAGGTTGTTTCCTGCTAGCTGTCTCAGTAATATCATAGAGAAGTTAATGAGCTGAAGTGCTCACAATGAAGAGAGGATTTGGACAAAAATAAATTAAGTTTCAGTAAGCGGTCAGGAATCAAATAACCAGACAGTATAGCAAGAGTTATTTTAGAATAATATGCTGGATCATTTAGATCAACTTCAAGCATTTTGTTGTTCTGTTCTAAAACAGATGCCATTCTTGTATCCCCACAGTGGAATATACTGCACCAGAGCATCAGTCTTATTGATTTTCCCAAAAAAACTTCAAACAGAGGATACAATTATTCTCTATTAAAACAGTAGTAACAGTTGTGAGTTTATGTTGTTGCAGCCCTAAAACATAACACAGTCCTTCAGAAAATGTTTTCATTTATATAGCACCAAAACTAAGCACAAGAGCTTTTGCAAAGATTAGTCAGATTTTTGCTGTACATTATTTATCTATTGTTTCCTACTGTAGAGAAGGAACAAATAAGTTACACATATGCTTGGCTCTTGTGAATCTGCAGAAGAGTTCAATGGTATTTTTTATGTGCCTCTGATCTATACACCAACAATGTGTACTTGCCAAGTTATCATGTAGTAGAGCAGTAGGCCCATGTAGCTAATTTAGCCTCTCCCCACTATAATTTTCAAATATATGTATGTTTTCTATACTAATTTGAAATACTGTGCCCAAAGAACATCTGTAGAGGTCACGTATGCTAAGTTAACACCTTCCCATTGGAAAAAATATATTTTAAATTATTCACTTTTTAAAAAATACATATAATCCCATTTTAGATGCAATCTGCAGATTGAAACGTATCACAAAATTTAGTCATAAGACTTGGGTACCAGACAGTGCCACTATGAATTATATGACAAAATGAGCCACAAGGACTCCTAAGTTGCTAATACAACTGCTTCTCATTTACTACTGACATTGTATATAAAAAGATGTTTCAAACTGAACATACAATTTTGCAGTACCTTCAGAAGATTGAATCCCTTCTGTGTTTAAAAAGCATATGTCATGTTCTTTTACTTGTGTCAAATTTAGACCATCCTTTATCTTTTCTAGTGGGAAGCCCTGGGAAGGAGAAATGAGGGTTTTGCCTGGCTGGTTTAAATCATTGAATGACTGTCTAACAAGGAACTTTTTTAGCATTTGAAATAAGCAGTCCCAAGTAGAAAGGCCTGGGAGCACTGCAGCTGAACTGAAAGTTCATTTTCACATGAAATTGAATTCCCCAAACTTGCATGGTATTTGGCAGGTCCTCACAACAACATTAATTCAAGAGCAATTTGCATTACATCTTCTATGCATCTGTATCAATGACTTAAATGAACCTGCAACAAGGCTGCACACATTGCATTTATAAACCCCAGGGAAATGCTTACAGACACAGCCGGAGATATGCTGTATCCTCCTCAATAGGTTTCGGGTTCTTTTAGTCCTTCTCTCCACTTCCTGAGGCTCTTCCTTTTGCCTGCATTTCTCCTTTTTGAGGACATACTACTTTCTTTGATAGTGTCACTAAGAAAGATACCAAAATTACCTGGCTAGGAAAGCAGATTCACAGGGTTCAGCCATTTTTCCTCTGTGTTGCACTTCAAAGAGAGATGGCTTCAGCAAGCCTAAGATTCTCTAGCACTGACATCAATTTAGGGAAAGCAAATCCCTAAAATAAGTAAATAAAAAATTAGTGAGCATATTCTATTCCATGATATCTAAAACAAAGGCTTGAACTTGTAAATGGATTACAGGGTCGTTCTGTCTGGAACAAAACTGAGGAGCCCAGCCCAAACTCTATCTCAAGTCACTGTGAGCAATAAGGTCTGTTCACTTGGAGCTTTAGGTGTCCTTGATACAGCTCTGTTTCCTTGATAGGGCATTTTAAATAGCGTAAGAAAACATTCCTGAATGCCAACACTAATACACAGATATCCCACCTATTAGCACTGAAAACGTTGCAGTTGTAAGCCTTACCAGCAGATGCCACTACAGTTGTTATGAAATACACAGATGAGTTATGGTGAAGACCTTTTGTTAATTAGTACATCTTAGACATCTATCTTAGACATAGCACCTACCCAGAAACTTAATGGATTTACTTAAATAAACAACTGGTCATAAAATTCCCCAAATCCTGCAACACTACCGTCCCTCTCAGAGGACCGAATTTTCTTAGGTTTAGCATAGAAACAAGACCACAACATTGCAAAGTGTGAAGATACCACTTGATGCAAGCAGAAACACTGTAAGCAGCAGGCGTTGGACACTTCATTTAATCCACCCTGGAGGATGCTGAAGCGCTCAATACAGGGCACTACCTGAATCACGGACAGCCTGCTAGTGCTCAGGTGGCCTGATGCATCTGAGCATCTTCCATGTAGAAGGGACTAGAACATGGTCTTTAAAAAGAAAAGTTTCACCATAAACAGTTGCCTCTTGATAGCAACAACAACAAAAACTAACTATCTGGGCAGATAGTCAGGCATCAAAAGTCAGCAATCAACAGGCATCAGCAGCCACCTCTATTCCTTAGATCAGGCTTCACCTCAGCTGGAGGACTTTCTTGGTTATGTCTCTGGCTCAGTCTCTGAAAATCCTTACACTTTTCAGAATTAGAAGGAAAAAGCAGCACTATTTCTAGTAAAACCAGCCAGATGATACATGCCTTTCCTTGAAGAGGCTGCAGGGAAGTAGTGGAAGAACCGAGCTGTATTTCTTGGCCTATGCCAGAGATGGTTACTCAGTGATATAGGAAGCCCAGCTACAGAAACACTCCTGTCTGCTGCCAGCTTAGCTGCCTGAGAAGTCTGATAAGCTTCAAAACACTGACCTGAGGCTTGGCAGCTGTGGCCTATGACTTATCCAAGGAGCAGGTCACCACAGCAGCAACACAGGCAACACCACACCCCAATCTCCTGCAGTTGCACTTCTGAAGACAATTGTGGTGGGCACAAGAAGGAAACATGGTTTCACTTAAAAAGGGGAATAGGGACAAGACATTACAAAAAAAAAAAAAAAAAAAAAAAAAAAAAAAAAAAAACCTGTCCACACATTTCTTGGACATCTTATGAACTGAAGGGAGCCTACCAGCTTCTGAAAGGGACATAGGGACACAGGAAAAGCAGTCTTCTCCCAGAATGAGCCAGGAAAGTCTCCCCTCATCTTTTGCTTTTCTCAGAAGGGAATTTCTCCACTCATGATGCCCTTGGAGAAAGAGGGTGCATACAGAAGTCAACTCTGTGTCTTCGTAATCTCACTGATCTCGAGTTGGATGATTGATAGAAACCTACTTCAGGCAGCACCCAAATCACCAGCTGTGCAGCAGTCAGAGAACCAGAACAAATTCCTTGGGAGAAAAAGAGCCCAAAGGAAGAGCTCCTCAAGCAACCATGGCCCCATATTGTCAAGCCACAGCCAGAGAGTTAAAGCTTTCATACTCTGGTGATGCCAGTTTCTCTCCATTCTCTTTCATCTCCATCACCTAGGCTGAGTAGTTTAGACTTGAAGACCTACATGTAGGTGTGGAAAGTGAGACAGTGCTAATCACTCCTGAAGCTGCAGGTTTCCTTTATGGCCATCAGCTCCCTTGGGAATTAACATTTCTGACTTTTTCCAGTTCCTGAGAGGTAGTGATTTCTTCCAGTCAAGCTTAGGAAATAAGGATGTCTCAGCACTGCTCCCAAACTGCTTCTCTATCTCTTCACAGACAGAGACACACTTAGGGAGACTGCAGACAGCATCTGTTCTGCAGCAAGGTGGTGAGGATGCAAGAGGTCCCCAGCATTCAGCTGAACAAATAGTATTGCTAGGCTCCTATAAGTGACAACTCTAGTTTTATTAACTCCCTAAAGCATTTTGTTTCTCCAGCATTCAACTTGACTTGAGCTGAGATGATAACACTCAAATGTCTTAATTCTAAACACACTGATGGGATTAAGCAACCCCACACAATGAAGTTTTCTGTGGACATAGATTAACTGTAGGTTTACAGTAAATGAACGTGTTACCTAATGTCAGGAAATAACTTGAACCACAGAGCTGATTTCCTCTTCTCTCATTCTCTCTCTTTTTTTTTTTTTTTCTCTTACAGTTTTATCGGGCCAGCTTGTAAAAATAAGGGTCAGACTTTAGTTAGAAGGTAAAATGTATTTTTTAACAGGTTATCTCATCTCATTTCTTTCTTTTAGTACAACAAGATGCTGCTACTGCAAGCAAAGTCTGAATTCTTATGTTTTCTCACCTATTTATACCTATATAGCAAATGATGCTGATGAGGAACCCCCCTCCCCCTAAAACAAACAAACAAAACAAAACAAACAAACAAACAAAAACAAACAAAAACACTAGACTAACACCAAGCACCCCCAGAAGGATGGTTATTTTTGCCTTTCAGAAAATTGTACCAGCACATAATGAAAGGCTGAGATCAAGGAAAGAGCCATTCAGTCACCAGAGAAAAAGGAAATAAATTCAGGAATTCTTTAATAAAAATGCTTAGAATAAAGAAAGAATGCATCATATCAGTAACTTGCACCAATTGCACATTTGAGAAAAGCAAATGGAAGCAAGAGCTGTAGACCCCTCCTCCTTTCCCCAATGACTAGTGGTATTTGATAGTACTCTACCATCTTCACTTGACATTTTAACTGCTCCTTTTGTAACTCAGCTGAGTATTTGTGTATGCTCAGTATAAATTTTGGGCTACATGCAAAGTAGATTAAATGCACAGAAACATGAATTCCACTCGCATGCCTATTTGTCTGTCTCTTTTCCACCCTTGCAAAAAGTGGAAATCTTTGCAACTCTTACTTAACATATGCCTGCAATTGAGCTTTATGGCTGAAAAGCCCATCAAAATTATATGGCTTTGTCAGACTAATAAAATAGCAGATGCTGATTTAATGAGAAATGACTGCAAGCTTCTTGTGATATCACCTATGTTGTTTGCTAGTATTACTTATCAAAATTATGAAAAACTCCTTTTAAAACATCTAAACTTGCATTCTCATACAGGCAAAGCTTCAGATTTGAATAAGAACTGAAGGATGAGATTCTCTAATCAAAAGCTCTTCATTGTCAAAGGCTACTTTGTGTTCTTGCATGGAATTTCTATAAACAAAATCTCCATAAATGCAACAGAAATATGGATATGGATTGGACCTCCAAGCATCATCCAAACTCCTGCAATGAGGTACGATCATGCAAGTCTCAACCAGCACTGAGATCTTTTTATAAAACTCCACAATGAAGAACACAAGAATTTTGTAAACTATTTCAGACTCTCACCCCGTGAAATCATCGTCTTAATTGCACTTATTCTGCAGTTTATCTACATTTAATGTCATATTTAGATTTTGGGCCATCTCTTCAATTTCTGGGTTTTATTGTGAACTCTCATTTATTTAAAATTACTTTGAGAAGTGAACCCAGGACAGATGTTCGTCTTGATTCCACTTGACAGTGCATCTTCACCCTCCCCCTCTCCATTTCGGCAGAGAAACAAATACTCCTTGAAAGTATACATTTTTTCTCCTTCCCCTAAACCAGTTTGAGATATTACTAAAACAGTAGCAAGCTCTAGACTATACTTTCTACTCCCTTATGTGGCCTTGTGGGACACTGTCAGTGCATCATTAAAGTTAAGATACAATTTTCATGTCTTTATCCTTATGAACTAAGCAGATGACCTCATTCAATGAAATGGTTTGGATAGATTTGTTCTCTTCAAATCCATGATAGCATTTCATTTTGTTTTAAACCAAATTACCTTTTGAATACTTACAAACACATTTTAATCATTTCAGCATCTTTTGAGGATGCACAGATGTGTCCATGATTCCTCCCATCCTCCTTTTTCAAGCCTCTTCTCATTGATGATGTAGATTGTGTTATCAAAATCCACTGGTACAGACAGATCTCCAAAAAATCACCTATTTTCAAATATGAAACCATGTATTTCTGGAGCCTATTAAACACATGCTTTTTTTGGATCATTTTTTCTAGACTTGTTCATTTTTTATGAATCTGGGAGTCAGATAACCAAAAAAATCCTGACCTCTGCCCTGAACAGAATAGAACATCTCAACTGCTGAAGTCCCAAAATCTCAGTAAGAGTTAAATACTGAACTCTGGACCAAAATATGTCTTAAATAAATAAATAAATTTAAAAAAAAATATGAAGTTCATATATACATGTATTATCTATCTGTAGCATTGAAGTGTCTCTAAACTCTGAGTTGAAAACACTTTCTTTGTACAAACCTGTATGAATCCCTTTATCCCCCAAAACATGAAATTTAAACACAAATCACACAAAGGAAATACCATGCTATGGAAGAAGGGCAAGTGAGGCATCAGCAAAAAAGAATAAAACTCCATATTCAGTATTAAGGCACTTAATATCATTGGGAAGTAGGCACCTAAACACCTATGCAAATCTGGGGCTAAGTTAATTGACATTCTATATATTTACTTTAAATCTCATTAAGCATTTTCAACACGTGTGAAACACAAGCAGATGCTAAACCATGAGGAAGTGGGAAGAAAGCGGTTGATTTGCAAAGTGTGGTAGCTACTGCAACTCTGAAAGCTGTGTAGAAGAAAAGGATCTGGGGGTGCTGACTGATGCTCGCCTGAACATGAGCCAGCAGTGTGCCCAGGTGGCCAAGAAGGCCAAAGGCATCCTGGCTTGTGTCAGGGATGGTGCAGCCAGCAGGAGCAGGGAGGTGATCGTCCCCCTGTGCTCTGCTCTGGTGAGGCCGCACCTCGAGTGCTGTGTTCAGCTTTGGGCCCCTCACTACAAGAAGGACATCGAGGCCCTGGAGCGTGTCCAGAGACAAAGTTTTTCAAAGTTTTTTTTGAAATTATCTGTCTTCAAGCTGATCATTTGAACTTGGTCAAGTTGTACTTTCCTTTGGCTCTGTTATATTATACTTTAAGGGTTGGTTATATTTTATTTAGCATTTAAATCATTCTCTTTGAAACTATAAAAACACTACTGACATCTATAAGAAGCAAAGCCAATACTCTCTTGAATCTTCTTCCTCTCTCACTCCCCACACAAAAAGATGTATATGGTTTTGTCTTTTGTTTCTTTAGAAGACCAAAAATTAAACAGTAAATTCTACAATCAAAAAACTTAAAAACCTTACAGTGGTGAGCAGCATTTTTATTTTAAAATGTTCACTTAGTTTTGAATATATGATTCTTACCATCATGTAGGGCAGCAAGTACAGAAACCTACTACAGTTGCAATGATACAGGTTGATGAGAGCAAAATTGCTGCATGTAACGCAGTGGATGCCCAGCATACTCACCCAGACAGACAGAAGTCAGGGAACACTAACCTGTTAGTAGGAAAAGCTCAACAAGGGCTTGCCATTTATCACCTTTGAAAAGCAACTGCCCTAATGGAACAGGAGCTGAGAGACATTAAATTCACATTGCTGTACTAGGCTTGAGAACTGCCTACGTACATTTGTACACAAATATAGATTAAATTGCGACAAAATAGCATCCTTGTGATTGAAAAAATATGCTTAACCAGTAACTGATTTTGGTAGTGGGGCACAAAGAAGAAGCTCAGAGTTTCCCCTTGGATTTATTTGGAGCTGGTCAATATTTTCATTAATAGCTTAGAAGATTTACCTTTGTCCTCTTGTGACACAATCTTAAGATTTGAGGCTGATTTCAAGTTATATCTGGAAGAGTTTTTAAAATCATTGTTATTAGAGAATTTTGTGAGGGTGTTAAGCCAGTTATACTGCAAGAGCTTCTGATCAACAGCCTCTCGGTAGCCACAACACCACTAGGATAAACAGTGTCTACTGGATGGGTGGGATGACATCTTTTATCAGTTCATCTTACAAACCAGCTCTGAAGAATATAAACCCTTCTCTGTGTCACTGTGCTTCATCTGACTTTAGCAAAGAGATAAAATACTGAGCTACCCTCTGTGATACTTCTATA